ATCATTTGCCATTTGGCTTATCCCTCCTGGAACATCAACCCTGTTACATATCTTAGTATCATCAGCAAAAAGACATACCTTACCATCAAGACCTTCTGCAATATCACTAATAAAAATATTAAAGAGAATGGGTCCAAGTACAGATCCCTGAGGTACTCCACTGGTGACAAGCCCAAGCTTCGAATATACTCCACTGACTACAACCCTCTGTTGCCTGTCACTCAGCCACTGCCTTACCCATTCAACAATATTGGAATCCAAACTTAAAGATTGCAGTTTATTGATAAGCCTTCTATGCGCAACAGTGTCAAAAGCCTTACTTAAATCTAGGTAAGCAATGTATACTGCTCCACCCTGATCTATTATTTTAGTTACCCAATCAAAAAAAATTAATAAGATTAGTTTGGCATGATCTCCCTGAAGTAAATCCATGTCGTCTCTGATCTTGAAATCCAAGTGTTTTTAGATGTTCAACTATCCTATCCTTTAACATGGTTTCCATCACTTTCCCCACTACTGAAATAAGGCTTACTGGCCTATAGTTGCCCGACTCCTCCCTATTACCTTTCTTGTGGATGTGCACAACATTCGCTAACTTCCAATCTCCTGGGACTACTCCTGTTAACAATGATTGGTTAAATAAATCTGTTAATGGTTTTGCTAGTACACCACTACGTTCTTAATAACCTTGGGTGTATTCCATCCGGTCCCATTGACTTATTGGTCTTCACTTTTGACAGTTGATATAGAACCTCTTCCTCTGTAAACTCACATGTAATAAATGGCTCATTTGTCCTTTTTCCTAACTGAGGTCCCTTTCCTTCATTTTCATCTGTAAATACTGAACAAAAATATTAATTGAGGCAGTCAGCTAGACCTTTATCCTCTTCTACATATCTTCCTTCTTTTGTTTTTAATCTAACTAATCCTTGTTTTACTTTTCTTTTCTCATTTATGTATCTAAAAAATGTTTTATCCCCCTTTTTTACTGACTGTGCTATTTTCTCTTCTGTGTGTGATTTGGAAGCTCTTATAACTTGCTTAGCCTCTTTCTGCCTAATCTTATAGATCATTCTGTCTTTCTCACTCTGGTTTTTTTTTACAATTACTAAATGCTAACTTTTTGTTTTACACTATTTTGGCCACATCTGCGGAGTACCATAGTGGTTTCTTGAATTTTTGCGTTTACGGACAAGCCTAATGCAATTTTCTGTTTCGTTCAGCAGTGCAACTTTTAAATAATCCCATTTCTCTTGGACTCCATTTAAAATTGCTCCAATTTGATAATGACCCCTTTACACATATTCAAATTTTAGAAAAGTCTGTTATTCTAAAGTCTAAAAATTTTGTTTTTGTGTGGTGTGACTCAGTCACTGTTCTTATATTAAACCACACTGACTGATGATCACTGGATCCTAAACTTTCACCTACAGTAATATCTGATACCAAATCTCCATTTGTTAACACTAAATCTAGTATGGCCTCCTTACGAGTTGACTCCTAAATGACTTGTTTTAGAGACAATCCCAGTATTGAGTTTAAAATATATGTGATACTGGCAGAAGTATCTAATTTTGTTTTCCAATTCATGTAAGGCAAAATTTATTTCAGGAACTGGTCTTATGTTGACAAAGGCTCAGATATTGAGACAAAACGTTGCTGTACAGGGTCCTGAAAAACTCTGCCTTTTTTGGATACCATTGTGAGTGCCCATATCTTCTATTGTTGAACATACATGCATGCAATGCCTTTATATAAATACAAATAACATGTTTTCCCATTTAATTTTAACGCACCTGGCAAACCCTTAATAAGGTCTGGACTAGCCTTGTTGTCTGAGGCACTTGTAGCTTTACTACTGCGTGAAGGGTATAGACCAAGTCCCCAGGGCCCATTCTGTGAGCTGCTAACATTGCTTGACGGCACAGATTTTCAAAATTTTGGTGCTCGAACATGATCTGCTTCTCATATTGTCTCTGTCCCTGCTTCTGCTTGATCTTCTTAACCGTTATCCACATGGTGGTGAAACTATTGCTGATATGTTTCAGGCTTAGGGAGGAACTGCTGCACAAATCCAGCACATCAGAAGGAGAATTGCACTTTTGGAACTCTTCAGCCATGGCAAAATTATTGGTTTTCCTTGTCTTAGCTGGTGTCCACTGTTCCTCAGTGATTACATCTTCCAGTGGGTTTAAATAATTTGAGTCTAATTTTTCTTCAAACAGATTTGGGGTGCCATCTACTAAGGATTCTCCTTCAACAGACTTTATATCATTTTCTCCTTTGCTGACTGGAGTTACATTGCTTAAAAATCTTACAGATGTAGCAGACTGTTTATATGTAGAAGGAAACGGCTGTGTTTTCATGAGAAGCTTCCTTCCTAGAACACTAGCCCTTGAAGTGTAATTTCTTGTGGGTTGCAGGAGTTGAAGTCCCACTGAAGAATTACAAGATTTCAGATGTCGCATCATGCGCAGCGCACATAAATAAGCCTTCTCACTCATTTTGGTTTTTGACCTTGGTTTAACAATGCAGATACTGGACTAGTAGGGTATAAAAACCCTACACTGCTAATCTGGAGGAAAAAAAAAACCAAGGGGTTATAAGATATAGTGTAGACATGTTTAATAATATTTAAAAAAAAACAATTTCCAGTGATCACTGAGCACAGTTTATATCACTCTACATTGTCAATGCATATAGCCAGCACACACACCATAGATAGCAAGCACATGCACATCAAATACAGCCAAGACACATGACACAAAACATGCATCCAGCATACACCACACTTGCACCAAGCACAAACAAGTACTTTCCGCTCATCACACACAACCAGCACATACTGCAAACTCACATGACATACAATCAGCTGTCACCACACATACATGACACACAACAAGCATACACAACACACAGATGAAACACAGAAAGGATATGCTGCACACACTATAAAAAAAAAGGGGTGTAAGGGCAGAGGGTAAAACACTCAAGGTAATTCAAAAGATTCTGCTTTTTTTTTTTTATCCAAATGACATAAATGAGGCAAAAACAACTATATCAGAATTATTTTACATTAAAGGATCACTATACGGTCAGGAACACAAACATGTATTTCTGACCCTATAGTGGTACAACCACCATCTTAACTTCCATGGATGTGACTGACAGCCTGCATGAAAAAGTTATCACTGGCACAAGTAGGTTAACCAGTGTCATTTATACCATCACCACTATCAGCAACCAAATGCTAGTGTACAGGCCAGTGTTGTAAATTGCACTTTAATAATACACAGGAGGCTCCTGCATGCTCAAGAATGCTTTTAATAATACAGGAGATAATAAATTCTAAATTAAACTGACTGTGCAATAAAGAGAGTTTAAAAATCGTATCTCTCTTAACAGGAAGTGTTTATGTAGACTGTAGATGACATGCAGTGAGTTGTGACTAGGGCTGCGTAAACAAAGTGATTTAACTCTTACATGGCAAAGAACTTCAGCTGATACACCAAAACGGCTTCATTATTTCTAGAGTTGTTTTGGTACTTATGTCGTTTTAACAGCTTCCCTACAAACAGTGTCACGTTTATTCCCTACAATATAAATTTAAAATATTAAAGTAGCATAATTGGTTTCACACTTTTGTAAAAACTCAGAAGATATATGCTGCTCACCATTTAGGTTGATTTCTTTTTCTATCAGCACACTTTTTTTTTTTTTTTTACTTGAAAAACACTTCTGTACATCAGCAAACCTGAGCCGATACTGAAGTTTTACTCACATTTATTTCCCCTCCATAGACCAGTATTTCCCTCTTGTGCACAAGAGTCAGGATAAGAATACTATCACCGCCAAGATGATGGTGTAGAACCTTGTTTGAGCATTCAAGTAGAAAGCAAAGTGAGAGTGACCAGTGTGATGGGCTAAATAATCTACCTACAGGTAGAAAAAAAAAAAGTATGTACATTGTGTACACTGTTATCTATGAAAAAGACTATCCCTTTCAAATATCAGAGAGGTACATTGTGAAACAAAGTGGTGTTTTTTGGTTTTTTTAAAATCAAATAAAAAAAAAACCCATTAGTACGAATATTTGTTAAATAGACTACATGTCCACCCTAAAGTGAGCAATTTTTGGAAACGGCCTTCCATAAAAAAATAAAATTAAAAAAACTGCGTATGACATTCACTGCAGTCTTGCTGTCTGCAAATATGAAAACCGCACCGAAATAAAATTCTTGTACAGGTAGCTAATAACCACAGTAGCACACGCGCCATTTATACTGAAATCTCCATTAGTTCACACAAGTAATAAAAAGACTGGGCACTTACAGCAGTTACGGATGTTCACCTTGATCAGGCATAGAAAGCATGCTACACGGGAACACAGGACGCCGCCATGACAGTGCAATCACGTGACTGTCACCGGCGTTCTATCAGCTTTCCCCACACGTGAAAATCCCCTACCTTCCTAGCTACGGTATCGGAGAAGGGTCAAACTAGTAAAAAGACCGAAAAGGTGGAATTCTGTCAGATTTCAACTTTAGATCTCACAGTCCAGCCCTCTAGTTATTGCTGGATTATGGCTGGATGTGAGTTGTGGGATTTGTATTCCCACATAAGGGAAAGCCAATCTCATATTAATCCTTACAGGAAAGAATCCTATGTTTAGGATACAGATAGGTCCACACTGAGTATGTGTACAATGTTTACTGGATTGTCACTTTATCCTTTCCCATGCAGTGAAGGGGACCTTCTAAACCAGAAATGGAAGGGGTAAAATCCCAGATATTGTAGAACTACAGCTATTCATGGAGCATCACGGGAGTTGTAGTCCTCTAGCAAACATTGGGCGTGTGAAGTTTGTCAGCGCTAGAGAGGTGTGTCTGCGTCATGACGTCACTGCTTACAGTCTGCCCCCAAGAAGGGCTCACGCTAATTAGCGTTTTGTTGCCTAGCAACTGCAGTTAACACCACAAGGAGAAAGGCTACTGCTAGCTATGGCGAAATTCGTACTGGCAGGTACTCACTATCCTATGGGACAGTTAGCTGTAGGCAGCATACAATCAGAACTGTTGCTATTTTGGTTTTTTTTTTTATGTGCTAATTTTGCCATTTGAATTTTAATTCATTACACTTCTGAGTTTAGTAAATAAGCCTCAAAATAGCTGATCTGGGAAAATGATTTAATGGAACACTCAAGTGTTATTTCTAATGGTCTAGTGTTTCTGTCCCTAGGACTGGTGGTCCCCATACTATATCCATAAAAAGTTATACAAATAGTATTTTACTTACTTTTTCCCAGCGCCAAGGCTACCAGCGTTGCTTACCTCTTTCCCTCCAGCAGCATCATAAAGGAGGCATGGCATCCTCTGGAGTCGGTCCAATTCAATGCTCCTCTATGATGAGAACTGGGGATCCAATGCGCATGCGCAGTGAGTGCCACATAGGCATCACATTTTTCCATAGGAAAGGTTACTTGGTTACTGCAGCAGAAAGCGCCTTCCGTGGCTGTCAATATGTCCTCTACTAGAGGTGTCTTTAACCCTGCAAAACATTTTGTAAAAAACTTAATTGTATTAAACTACAGGATTAAACCTAGAGGATGACTGGCCACTTCAAGTATTAAGAAAATTGGGCAGACTAGATGGACCGAATGGTTCTTATCTGCCGTCAAATACAGTCAGAGTTCATCACAAGACCACAGACAACCGCACACATACATAACACTACAGGCAGCCCATATACCCACGCAATACCACAAACAATCCACATACACACCCATAACACAACAGACAGCACCACACACATAAATATCACAAATACCACACACACATAAATGACACAGCAGCCCATAATTACTCACACAACATAACAAACAGTCCACACATAACCCTACAAACATCCCCATTCAACACCACAAAGCCCTACACACACACACACACACACACTACCACCATATACTCTCACATAACATATACAATGCATACCACCCATACACATACACAACCCCATGCACAGGCCACATGTACACACAGAAAACCTCACTAAGCAGCCACTATATCCAGACACAAGACATACACAATTCACCAACACAGAAAACCGTAAAGGGACTTCAAAACTTTCCTTAGGCTCAGCACTACCAAAAAGTTACCTACTACTAATTTACTATATGCTTTATTGTTATGTCATTTCTACATTATAGTATTATTTAGGGTTATAATTCTTTAATCATATGACAGTACTAGGATATGCATATCATGATTTGCCCCAAATTGGTGAACGTTACACCCCAGATTAGCTTGACAAATGTAGATGCCAAACCTTAATTTATTGTATTTGTTGTCTATTAATGAATAAATAAATTAACTAATAATAATATTAACATATTTTTATTCTAATAATCACAGGAAAAGCAGACTGTCCATATTATGCCAAAGCAGAACTTCTTGCGGATTATCTTCAGAAAAATCTTCCCCACTTCAGAGTGCACAAAATTACACAACATCCTGATTATTGGGAGGTGAGACATTATTGAGAAGTAACATTATTTTATAACTTATGTAATCACCATTAGTTTGGAGACTTGTTGTGCATCATCAATGTATCTCATTGAAGATAACATAGCTCCAAACACAGCAAGTCTGAATGCATATGTGTCAACTTACCCAGAATGCCTTGTGGAACATCAAAATAGACAAAGGATAACCATATTTCTTATAGCTCCCTTAGCAATGACCTGCTGTTTTATAGCATAACATTTTAAGTCAGTGTTTGTTTTGAATCGTGGGTCGAGTGAACCATTGCCTATAGCCATGGACTGTGTTGTTTTATTCTACTAGGATTCCACTGCATGGCAAAGCTTTCGCAGAGAGTCCTGTGTTGTATCTCAGGCCTTGCCTGCCACTAACTACCTCAGCAGTTTATATTTATGAAGAAAGAGGGATTAACGCACATGCTTTAGATTTCTCAAGACAATATTCTCAAATTAAAAAAGCAGAGAGAAAAAAAGTTACCTGCGCTCTCTCCTAAATCCCTATGTATATTTAAACAAATGGAGGTTATTTAGTTACTCCAATGGCCATTGGAGGGAATGCCCGCCTGCCACATCAAGGCAGACCTCTCTGGTGGGTCCTACACTAACCTTTCAGTTTGCTTCCTTGAGCTTCTGGCAAAGATATAACTTTTTTTCTTTGTTTTTTTACTGTCTGTATTGGGGCTGATGTGTACTATGGTCGTTGATGCCGCCTAGGAGTGTTGGGAGTTTGAGCGCAGGACTTGTTTTTTTTGTAATTAAAAAAGCAGACTGATGCATGTTCACATTTTGTTTTCTAGCAATGGTTAGCGGAGTTGTGTCTAAACAATGGCTGGAAACACAAGAAATCCCCCATAATTTGGAGAGAGCTTTTGGATCGAGGAGGAAAGGGCTTGCTTATCGGGGGATTTAATGAGTTCATGGAACATGCTCAGGTAAACCTGGAACAGTGAAAACATGAAACACTGCTTATAGTGGCCTACAAGGTTCACTACAGTGAGAACTCAAAGTGAATTTCAGAATTAAGACCAAAATAGTTTTATTGGAAAACATTTCTGAGTCAGCTATGCTTTCGGTTCAGTTACTTTGGCCTTAAATTTCAAAATGCTCTTTGAATTCTGTCAGACATATTATGCTTCACTTTAGTGTATAATTTGATGTGTGAATTGTTGTTTTTCTTTGGATTCTCCAGCTCCTTAGTAAATGTTGTGTACTTATTATTGGGTGTATGAAGGCTGATGTCTGTCATTATCGACAATTATATATGTATATATTATTTCTATAGCCCTAAGACTGCACACTGTATCATACACTTGAGATTTTTTTTATTTATTTTTTAAATAAAAATTTTGCATAAGACCTAATATACACTAGCAAGAGAAAGTATTATGACTTAATATGCCTACACTTTTTAAAATTAGAAATATCATAACAGGAACAAGGAAACAAGAAACAGAGAATGAAAAAAAGGAAAATCAATATATTTTTCATATCAGTGAATAATTGTCCCCGGGTTTTATGAAGTGACCGAAGAGTTATAGACTAAACTTGTTAAAGGGTTACTCCTAGAATCTTAACCACTACATCCTTTTATGATACCAGCGGCACCCTGGCCCAGTTGCCGGTAATGGGGCAAAATGTTTAATAATGGTTTGCTTGCTTACCTAGGTCCCTGCTGGATTCCAATGTGACAAGCTTCTAGCATCTGCAGTAGCCGGAAGCCGCTGGGATCGACATTTCTTGACTGAGAGTGTCAGCTGACTGCTCTTAGCCAATGACTGATACTCTGTGCAACAAAAGTTGCACAGAAATTTCCAGGCTGGCTAATGACACCCCTATGAAACTACTGGAGGTGGAAATTAACCAGTAGAGGAGTTAATCTCTGTGTTAGCAGCATATCAAAGTGAAAAGCTGCGTTTACAGACCCCAGGCACCATAACCACTTTAAAGCACTGAATTACTCATGGTGCTTGGAGTATCCCTTTAATTTATGCAACATATTTTTTTGCAGGATCTTAAAGGCACACTCGAGGCATATTCCTTCCCTTTTCTCTTATGTTTGTCGGACACCTTTCTCACAAATAAAAAAGTGAAAAAATTAAAAATTAATTTGAAACTTGCCTGTAACCCAGCACAGTCTCCATGCTGCAGCTTCCCACTTCTTCTGAAATCATCAGTGTTTATGATTTCAGTCCAATCCAATCCTTCTCACAGAGAAGCATCGTGAACCAATGGCTTATGCACAACAGTCTGCACTCTGCCAGTCTAAAGCTTCCAATAGAGAAGCATTGGATCCATTTAGTACTGTTAGCAGCGAACCTTTCAAATTGACGATCTTCAACTGAAGTGCTTCTAGTGGCTGCCATCTTGATTTTGGACAAATGTAAACATTGCTGTTTCTAAGACATATATCTAGCTTGCAACTAAATATGAAGTATTTAGTTTGCAAATTACCTTGACAAATGTCCAGCCACTCATCAGAGGCTTACGTACATCTAAAGTCCAAGCTCTCTCTAATCTAATAAGCAAGTGAGGCTACTATACATAGCAGAAATAGAACCTTTTGGAAGAGACCTTGAATGCATAGCTTTGTGAGGGGAAGAAAGATTATTGCAGCTATAGCATTATACCATATCCCAAGTTAACATGCATGGCTATGGAGTTGTAAATATTTGAAAAAGTCTCTGATGGACACGCAGGCCATAGAACACAGTATTTCCAAAAAACATCTAAGTTAGTAAACACTATTACCTGCATTCCTGGCGGTTTCATAAAATAGGGATCATTAAAGATGGGCTTGTTAAATCACCTTTATCAGACAGGCAGTATAATATTCCAATATTCCTGGCTTAACTTAAGGCGGATAGCTTTTGGCTCTCATGAACGAGGTGACTTCCAATAGTTTTCTTAAGCTACCTGTACAAAGGATCTGCTCATTGACTGAGAATGTCAGCTGATCACCCTAATCCAATGATTTAAGCCCTGCATCTCAGGGTTTAGCTCAGTGCAGAGAGCTTTCAGCTCTTATGTTGAAGATGTCTGGTGCTCAGTTGACCCCAGGTTAGTTGTCAAACCATTACCAGTCAGTTTGATTGCTTACATTTGGAGGGCTGGGGGTGTGCCAGGCACTCCTGGCAACATTACCACTACAATGCTCTGTAGTAGTTATGGTGCTTGGAGGTTCCTTTAAGGATGTAGATTTTTGCTTTTTGCAACTGTATCCAAAACTGTTTTAGAACAGAGAGCATAAGGTTTGACTCTAAATCCACCTATCTGCATTGGAATATGGGGTCATTTTTTTGTATCTTTGCACCTCTGTTCTGATACTGTCATTTTAATTGCATGCATTTAATGGGGACATGTTTCGGTATTATTTTAAAAAATTTCTTTTGCAAAAATATGTAGAAATCCTCAGAAAAGCTTCTACAGAATATATATTCACCAATTAAGGCCCAACGGAATTTCATGCCACTATCATAATCTGGTCTATAAAGACCCTGTTCAAGCATACTAGGTCCTCTCATTTAGCACTAGCAGCGCTACACAGCGTCGCTGTCACCAAACATTTTAATATGGAATAGATTTAGTACAATTGTACTGTTATTGGAACTTAGGGGTTAAACATTATACTATATTGCTTAAGCCATCTTCGAGTGTGAGCACTAAAAGTCTAATAACTCATTCAACAGTTCATGGCACAATCATCATTTGCTGGCAAATATAAATAGCGTGAAATAGAATTTGATTGGTGCTCACTAAAGTTAAAATAGACTAAAGAATATTGCAGGCAGCAGTATATTATACCAGGATTCCCAGACCTGGTGAAATAGTAGGTGATGAGAAAATATATATATACCGAGCCCAATCTAAGTAGTACTACTCTTATACGTACATTAGTCTGGATTTTATATGATCATTGGTCTTTGAGTATTGGCAACACAATTGACCTAAAAAAAATACCAAATAAAACAATGATAGTGCAGCACAGTATATATTTATAAATAGTGTGTTTAGTTCTTGTGTAGAATACACTCACATTCGTTAGAGCTAATTTACAGCTCTGCTGTTATTTTGCATGGACGGCATAATCCCTGTTTTAGAATGTGAGTTGGTCCAAACGATACAGACACTCCAAATGGGATGTAGTATACAGGGTATATGTGGAAGTAAATAAAAGGCTCCAATGGTGACGTAAGTACTTAACAACCAGATATGAATAAAGAAATGTATAATCCCCACCAATGGATATAGTAGTACCAGGAAGCAGAATGATTAATTAATAGTGGAAAGGTAAGTCTATATTAAAGTTTAACTTTTATTAAACAAGAACATTTAAACAGCTCTAACGAATGTGAGTGTATTCTACACAAGAACTAAACTCACTATTTGTAAATATATACTGTGCTGCACTATCATTGTTTTATTTGTAATTTTTAGGTCAATTGTGTTGCAAATACTCATACCAATGATTTTATAGGATCCATACTAATGTACGTATAAGAGTAATACTACTTAGATTGTGCGCCATATATATATTTATATATATATATTTTCTTTTCACATAAATAGATATATAAATACATATCTAGTTGCTTTTGTAGTTTTTCTGTACCAATCAGCATGGCAGGCCTAGTGCTGGAATGAGTATAAGCAATGTTTCACGAAAGAGTCCCTTTAATTCTCAGTTCAGAGACAATATAATTGTTTATATATAACCTGAAATATATCATTTTTTCTAGGATTATTATAACGTCACGTCCGCAATGGTGAGTGCACAAATGAAGGAAATTGCTTCTGAGAACTATGAGACTCACATTGAAATTCAAAGAGAAGAGGAACACATTAAAAACAGTTTTAACCCTTTACATGTCTGGATAACTAGGTACGAGTAAAAAACACTTTCTAAAATAATCTAAAAAAATAATTTAACAGCACAATAAAAAACATGCCGAATAATCTCATCCAAAAATAAAATGTATTTAGAGCATTTAAAATAGAAATCTAAAAAGTAGAATTCTCCAAAAGACATATCCTGTGCGAGGGGTTGTATTGTTTCCATCAATAACTTTCGCCTCCAAACACAACATTCTAAACTCTTTTCTATCCTCATCCCACTTGCTCTGCTGCTTTTGATACCATTGATTACCTGACTCTTCTCTCAACTTAGGCCAGTCATGGTATTCTTCCTTGCATCATCTCTATCACTCCCCTTTCGCACACCAGAAATGTATTCCCCCATCTCACCATCGCCCCCCTCATTTCATAACCTTATGATCATCTTTGAATCACCACTTCTAATAAAGAATCTACTGTTACTCGTGACTATACTTTTTACCTATTTAATATACACAAAATCCACCAACTACAGATCTTCTCTTCTTCAAAACTCTACTTCCTCATCTTCACCAGACTTGCTCACTGCAACTCCCTTTTACATGTCCTTTGAAAATACCCAATAATTCAATTTCAACACATCCACCATGATGCTGCCTTTATAATCCCAAACATGTACAACTGTGCAAATCTCTCCATAACCTTGCTCCTTGTTACCGCTCCTCACTTATCATCTTCTATACTCCTACCTGTCCTCTCTGATCCCTTGTCTCCATATCGCTTGTCCAACCCCACATCCATGTGCTGCTGCTTGATTCTGTTTTTTTTTTTTAACTTCTAGATCCTTGCCACTGTAGAATATCATTTTTCATATCCATTTGGCCAATTCACATTCACCTCATATCTCTTCACTAAAGCCTTTACCAACACTTCATAGCCCAATCCCTTACTGGTCCATCTCAGTTAAACTCATCTAACCATATCCTTCTTATTAGTCCCTACTCCTATCAGTGTAAGCATCACTGTGGACACATGACCAAGCCTGCTATGCAGATTATACACTGTTTACCTTCCTTCTTCACTGGACACATTCTCCACCTTGTCTTCACTGTAATCTTGCTTGAGAAGTATTTTTTCAATACGTCATGCTCATAATCAGCCAAGCAGCCAACATTATCTCTCTAGGATGTTTTTCATAGCACTTTGTAGGAAGTGCTACATCATTGGAGTGTAGCTTATTTCTCTACTCCCATTAGCAGGGTTCTCTTATCTTTTTGTATCAGTATGTCTTATAATGTCTATAATTTTTTATTAATTTATGAATGGCACTCGTTAACAGTGCTTTATAATAAATAAATATCTCAAATGTACTTCTAATTTATCTTTGTAGTGCATTATTGCCTCCATGCTACAATCTGATTCCAATTCTGGCCAGTGGAGAAATATTTGGGATGAACAATGAGATTTGGTTGCATTTGTTGGACAGCGCCCACTGCATGGATAGTCTTTCTGCTGTAATTATGGAAACCCAAGATTTGGCATATCCGCTTCTCAGAAGAGTCACCATGCACACAATGGCTGATGATATATTCAAGCAGGCAAACGTTGTCATTGTTCTCGATAATGCCATTCCCAAGGTGGATCAATGTCCTGAAGAATATATTAAAATGGTAACCAGTGAATGTGCGAAGTATGGCGCGCTCATTAATCAGAATGCAGACAAGGACGTGAAAGTGGTTGTGGCAGGAAGTAGCTATGTAAACCTGAAGGCACTAATAATCGCAAGCAATGCACCTTCCATCAACCAGCATAATATCGTGGCATTGCCAACACAGCTGGAATTTGAAGCTAAAGCTCTGATAGCAAAGAAATTGAACACACAATCAGCAGGTGTGAAAGGAAATTGATTTTGTTTCACTATTTATTACATAAGGTGCCAGCATATTCATCACTATAATATAATACAAATTAAAACATATGCAATCAGGAACACAAAGGAACCATCTTATTCTAGATTAAGATAAGTCTTTACAAATCTTAAAAGGCAAGAAGGGTTAGGTATGAGAAGGTCAAGGTTTGTTAACTGATGAAAAAACAGGCAGCAGAAACATTAGGAGCTGATACAATACCTAAAACAAGTGGTCAATATTAGGGATTTTATAAAAGTTTGGAAAATCTAGCAGAACATTATAAATAATGCAACCTTAGAGAAGTTATGTGTGGGGGAGTTAAATAGTGAAGTTTAGAGCCAATATTTTGCACTGTAGAAGAGAGGTAAAGGAGATGATAGTAGTGATAATTTGCGGTAGAGTTGTGGGAACCATACCAGGTGAGAACTAAGGTTTTGTATAAATTCTTACAAAAATCAAGAAGCCATTGTAAATATAAACAGATGCTGTTTAAAGAGGCATGGTTAAGCAGGCTAAGTGTGGGCCATTTCCTAAATACAGGGCAATATGATACAGTACAAACCAATGTGAAATATGTAGAAACAGCTGAGTTGGTTGATGATGAAAGGATGTTTGTTTTTTCTTTGCATTTTCTGCTAAAAAGGTCTGCATTAATTTGGAGGTTGAGAGATTGTGTGAGGAGCTAAAACAGACCCCAAAGTTGACAATGATGCCAAAAGGCAGGAATCCTGGGTTCAATGAAAATTCAGAGGGACACATTCAGAGGAGGAAAAATCTAAAATGCATTTATAAGCTTAATACATAACTATTTTTTTACATTGATTAAAAAGTAATTTATGAATACACAGATAATATAAACGCATACAGTCCTATAAGTAATTAAATACATACCCATGGACATTTAAAGTGACAGTTTACCTTGCTAAGGTATTGAAGAGATATGAGGTATTGAGTTTGGTTGGAATAAATGTTGAAATTAATACCTTCTGCCCATAACCTCATATTTAACTGCATATCGTCTTTTATCTCAAGGAATACTCTGCAACAACTGCTTAGTGTTCTGAATCAAGATCAGTAACCCCAACCTAATGACTATATATCCCTGACTAGCCCCCAAAACTGTTTAGCAGTGTTTGTTTGTTTAGTGTTCATTCCTAACAAGTAAATATCACCATTCACCAAAAAGTTCTATATAGCTATACCCCGCTTTACATACACTCACTTTACATACACAAAAACATACCCGCGAGTGTACGTAACGGTGCCTCGCAAGTACGGACATTCCCGCTCCTCTTCTGTCAGTGAGGGAACAGGAAATGGAAGGTTCTATTCTCGCCCGGAGCAGCTCAGTTCAGTGTCTTTGGGGCAAGAAGTTTTCACACCTTCTGACATGGCACAGGTTAATCATCTCATTCTGTTTTTGTTTTATGGGTTGAGTTAGGATCTGTAAACCTCAAACATATCAGGACAAATGTATAATGTCTACTCCTAGCTGAACATATATATTTTTTTTTCTGCCCCTACATTGTCCATATTCTGCAATCGGCTGCCATCCAGAGAAAGGGTTTACCCTGCCATTTTCTATAACTATGACTTAGCAGCTTAGCTGCATTAGCCACAATTCCGAGGATTCAAAGTTAAACCATAAATGCTTAAAGTGATGAAGAGGTGTTTCTAAACAAAGTTTGCAACTAAGCTGCTAATAAATACAAATTGGCACTGTATTGACAGAAAATGGCCCAGGGGCACATTTGTTTTACTTTTCCTCTTAGTTTAAAGGGACACTCCAGGCACCCAGACCACTTCTGCCCATTGGAGTGGTCTGGGTGCCAACTCCCACTACTCTTAACCCTGCAAGTGTAATTATTGCAGTTTTTTCTAAACTGCAATAATTACCTTGCAGGGTTAACTCCACCTCTAGTGGCTGTCAACTAGACAGCCACTAGAGGGCACTTCCTGCATCATAGCACAGAAAACCTGTGTGAGGACCTCCAGCGTCGCTCAATTCCCCATAGGAAAGCATTGAAAAGCTATGGGGAGCTCTAATGCGCATGAGCATTAGGTCTCTCCGGCCGGTGGGTGGGATCAGTCTCACCCACAGGCCGACGTAATACAGCGGCCTCTGGTAAGTTACTGAAGGGGTTTTCACCCCTTCAGCAACCGGGGATTGGGGGGCTGGGAGGGAGAGGGGACCTGCAGTGCCAGCACTGGCGTTTCCCTTTAAGGTTGTCAAATGGTTAAAACATTAAAGATAAATCTGGAATGAGATTTTTCTTTTTACGGTTTGTTTTAACTGAATAAAAGCCCACTGGATATCACTAAATAAATCACTGGAAATCTGCAGTTGCAGTATCAGTTATGCCTTTAAATTACTATTGCAATGCAGTACATGCATTGGGAAGTGAAAAAAGATATTGCTTCGCTTTAAGTACATTTTCGTTTTACATATATGCTCTGGTCCCATTGTGTACTTACAAGTGGGGTATGCCTGTAGTGTGTTTTAGGTCCTGAATAAAAGTTGTGTACTCTGAAATTTAGTGTTTGCTAAAAATTGTCCACTACAAATATCCTAACACCCTTTTCACTAGACTAATTTATGTAGCTCAGATATAAATTATTTATCAAAAAGACCAAAAGGATACCGCACTTTAATTTAAAGAAAAGATTATTAAATTGTGATTTATTGACACAACATAGTAATACTAGATTTGAAAGGAAGTAACATTCCGAGCGCGCATCCCCGGACCTGCTTGGCCTCCCGAGCGCGCATCCCGGACCTGCTTGCCTCCATCCTGCTATCACAGAAAAGCTACTCAAAGAGATATGAACAAAGAGCTAAATTGGAAACACTGGGTTCCTTTCCTGTTCTTTGAAGAGTCTGCATGTCATTGAAAACCCATCAGGAGGCCTCCTTGATTCTCTATGGGTAAGATCTGACCAAATCCTATTATAGAACGTTTTTCCTTATATTTTTAATTTTTTTTCAGATTTTTTGTTTTTTTCCGTTCATTTTCTTTATTTTTTATGGGATCTACAGCAACATACTCCAGATTGGGACAGGCTAATAGACTCCTTGACTATTCTTCAGGAACTTTGATTTCACAGATGACTGATAACTATTTCTCTAAGGGTTTTGCTTCTTGCAGAGGATCATTGGCAGGCAGTATTGTATATTTTATAATGCTGTCACTTTATACTCTATGTATAGGTAGATTGTATTTATGGTGATTTGGCAACTAGCACTTTAACATATCTTTTGCACTTTAACTATGGTGGGCAAGTCATTGAACTGTGATGTATATTTATCATTGCACAGGATAGATTAACACTCTATCTAGTATTACTATGTTGTGTCAATAAATTATCATTTAATAATCTTTTCTTTAAATTAGAGTGTGGTATCCTTTTGGTGTTTTTGTATTATTTGATTTTGTGTTCTTAGAGGTGACCTAGATACCTGCACCTTGTGTGCGACTAAGTGCAAGTACTATTTTCATTTTTTGATTAGTTATTTATCAATTGTGCGTCTTGTTTTGGCAGCTGTCAAGGATGTGATTGTCTGGGGGAATATTAATGGAATCAATCACCTAGATCTTCGTGACGCAAAAATTTACCAGTTTGAAAGCTCTGTGTGGGGACCTCCAACCTTCTCACGTCCGTTGCTTAATATGATATATGACAGGTGTGTCATGTGCCTTATAATTATACAGATAATACATTCATGTTTTTGCCTCTGTTAATGTGTTAAAAACTTATTGCTTTGTTTCATTTTTGAATCATTATGGCAAAGTATTATGTTTTACAGCAGTAAGATAACAAGGTATATTGTTTGAGAGAGGTAATTTTTTTTATGAGACTGGAAATGTCTTGAAATAACATTTTTGTTAATCTTGTTTTTCTGTCTACCATTCTGTGAGCTGGTCAGACAGGGACACCTCTACAGACCTCTGTGCATTTAATGTTCTATGAATTGAGAGAGAGTTATTTACCAAAGTGTGAATATCTGGGAATGTGGAAATGTGGAAGTCAAAATGGCAAAATTGGGAAAATTATCCAAGTCAGTTATGTTTCCAGTTTAGCTGTGTTGGCCTAAAATTTGAACTTCACCTCAAAGTCATAAAAATTAACACTTTATGAAATAATCCTGATAGATATTCACAGGATCTTTATTTTTGCACTGAGAATCTTATGTAAAATGTCTATGGTTAGGTATATTTTTTCACTGGTGTGCATTAGAGCTCAGTTATAAATGTTTTCACCAAGAAACCTTTAAAGCAAATCTGTAACATCCTGAGATTTTTTATATTATGTTTACTCATCCCCTATTTTAAACAAATATGTGTTTATGAGTACTGCAGTATTAAGTTACATGTAGAAATTAATACTGCTGTATTTGCTGTATGGAAATGAACACTTTGGAATGGCTAATTCAATTATTGTTATAAATGAGGGCAGGCTTAGAGCTGCAATATAAAAATTGCAGTTCTCTGGGACTGCAATATTTAACATTGTGGCACTAAGTGCAAAAGGGACACAGCACCCAGACCACCTCAGAGAGCTGAAGTGGTCTGGCTGCCTACAGTGTCTTTAAGCAAAAAAACATATGCTTAAAAAGCAGTTATTCTTTAATACACGTATGTTTTCATGTGCGTGAATGCAATATTCTGACATTTAATTTACAAACTAGCCAAATAAATTAAGTAATACATAATAATGATAATAAAAAAAAATCTATTTTTGTTTCAATATGGCTTATTTTCAAATTGAACTTGGGCAATTTAGTGCCTTCTGAAAAATAAGCAACTCATGATAGAAATGTCATGTCAATTAAAACAAAACACACTGGTGAAAATTGGCTTGGTCTCTTCACTATTGAAAATGGCACAGCAGAGAATAGGTTAATATCAATACACACATTGGTTGCTTGCATATCACATTTAAAAGTTGTGAGATGCTCTTGAAATACCAATTAAAGCTTAGAAATATCTGTAGTATTTTATATTCATATCTTCATTTCTCCTCCTAATCCTGATAGGAAATGGCTTAAGAATAACCTTGTACAAGAATGGCGTGAAAGAAGGGAGCATCGTTCCGGCATGTCAGCTGCCCATTGTATAGCCAAAGTTTTGTCGTGGTGGCATAAGGATTCGGACACTGGAGAGATAGTTTCATTGGGTGTAATGAGTGAAGGTTTGTATTGGAAATAAAACACACACAAAAATAAATGTAGTGGATGAAAAAATATTTAGAACCAGGCCATTCATTAGGCTGTCTATACATGCACAATTTATTTATTCATACACACTCACAGTATCTGCATACACTGATGTCTTTTCATTTCATTTTGTATTCATAGCCAATATTCCTATATATAAATATTCTCGTTCACCAACAACATTGCAGCTTATGACATCATTATTTGTAAAATATAGTTTTCATTGTATCTCTTCCTAAATATATATATATATATATTTCTGTTATAGGGGAGTTTGAGCTGCCAGCTGGTATTGTTTTCTCCATGCCAGTGCGATTCCAGCACGGAGATTGGCAGGTGTGTATTCAAGTCACCATCCCAGAGGAAATGAAAGATATTTTATTGCAAGCAGCCAAGGAGCTAATCAAGGTAATTACATACAAAAATCCCAATGGTATTTTTGGATTGAATAGAGGGATCCCTATGGTACAGTAGCTGCCTTTGATGTTAGAGGTTGAACCTGGCCTTCTGAGTTGTTGTTTCTTTGAATAATAGTATATGTTTGCCATATGATTTTTAAATATCTGTAAAAACAAAAGACATTTGGTAGTGCAGAATATCTATGTAACATTACACTCTCCTTTAAAATACCCAAAAGAAATAAACTCACTAATCCAAGAGCCAATTCAAACTGCCTATATGTAGATCAGCATAAAAGTTATTATGGATGTGCCTCTTTGCTTCTTTTCCATATGAAGCGATCTGTAACATTTGGATAATAACAGGGAGGCTCCAGTACACTTTACAATTTTAATGTACAAAAACAATTTAAATAACCCTTACATCCAATTTGTAAGCTCAAAGTTCATAAAGTTAACTTAAAATGCCACGCACAACCAACTTCCACTGTGCTTCTACTAATTCTGTGACCCGTACTGCTCCAGTCATTTGGGGAGTTGCCATGTCACTTCAATTGTCACTTGCTTTTTTGATGCGTTTTGCTCTATCACTTGGGCTTTCTCTGATAACTAATCCTGGATCTCAAGTGTTTGAGCTGCTCACCTTTTTTCACTAATTTAGAAGATTGCAAACGAAAAAAACAATCATTACAATTTATAAACAACCATTGTCAGGGCTGCCATCAGAAATTCTGGGACCCCTTACAAAGTCTGTCCACAGAGCTTGCCCTGACTCCACCACCCATTACATCACCACCTCCCAGGCACATAAGACTGCAGTAGGTGATGCAGTGTGTGTTTGTAAGGGATGTAATGTGTTTAGGTAATGAAGCGCATGTGTATGGCCAGGCATGGGGCACGGTTCGGTGGCACTGTAGAAGCTCCTGCATGGTGCCCATGCTGCTCTAGCATACCCCTGCTGAATGCAGTGTTGGGGCATCGCCATGGTAACCTGTTGAAAAGCTCTGACAACAAGGAAGCATGAGAGGGAGAAGACCCAGCTAAGGAGCAGACAGACAGTCTCTGTGAAAGCCTGCAATGTTGGGTGGAGGTAGAACTTTAACCTCCCTCTCTGTGGCTGTATGTGTACAGCGATATTCGCTATATAAATTTTTCTGACTGAAACATCACATGGATGAAACTTGGTTCGTGTTAACCAAATGTTTTTTGCCATGCACAAGTCTACTAATTATAGAAACTTGTAACTAGTTTATAAAACAGGTTTCAATTATAGACTGGTGGCTTTAAAGCCACACACAAGCCTCCATGGGCGGTCTTCATGAAAAAAACATGAAAAAGTTAAATTTTATTAAAGCCACGCTTTAGCTTATATTACTTTACAAAGTAGTTTCATTCATGTGTTTTAATGAATTAATTTCTAATCATTACTGCTACAAGACTTATGCTACACAGCCCTACTAAGTAGAGGTTTGTAAAGTATGTGCAGCACAAATATGCACAGTACACCCTATGAAAACACGGAGGACCAGGATTAAAGCTGTAAACCTTCAACAAACATGGCACTTTCAGAGGTAAGTATCTCTATTGTTTTGGTGGGAGCGGGTCAATATAAAGGATGAAAAACAGCGACTGAGTTAGAATTAATTATTTTACACTAATTGCAAACAGCTGGGGTTTTATAGTGACCAGAATTTAATATTGTGGAAGCTGTATTTACACAAACGAGAGAAATTATTTATGAGTGGCGATATGCAAACACTTGGACTCAACCATTAGAACCTGAAATAATGGTGTAATTGCTTGTTATTAGATCTGTACAACAATAATATTACAATTGATTATTTGGGTATTGATTTAATTATGCAACAGCTTAGTGCACTTTAAATTGTATTATTGACATAAAGCAGTAATATTTATCCTATTTATCTTGCAGTCATAGCATCATTAGAACAATTACAGTGACATGTAATCGTCTTGCTTCTTACCCTTTATTGCAAGCCCTGTTCAATAAGACACCCATTAATATCCCTATTATTTAGATCCACCCAGGTTACAATAGTGATTTATATAGTTGTTATCGTTCAATAGTTGATATTTAATTACCATTCTATAGATTTTAGTATCCCCTCTTTGACTAATTCCGCAAACCTTTTATCCAAATCAGTTAAGGAATTTTATTTCACAAAAGTTAAATAAGTGATGTCCTAATGTTAAATATCTCATAAATCCAACATAATAAGTAGCAGTCCATTTTTATTCACCCCAGTAAACATGATCACACATTTACTTCCTCCACTATTTTGGGCCCCATTATTTTGAAACATACTCCCATGATAACTTGACCATCTGCCCAGTCCACACCTATTATGAATAGGTGCAATGTGTAGAGTAGATCTATTTTACTACAAATGTATTTATCAATAAAATGTTTTAATTAGATTTCTAGTTCTCAAGTCTGCCCTGGATAATATTTATACATTTTACAATTTATGGAGGGTTACTCTTTTTTTTTTTTTTTTAAACTCTGTCGAAGAAGGCTGTTCTGCCCTTTTGCTTTTTGAAAGACTCGACATAAAGTGCTAATGAGTAGATTGGAGGGTGAGGCTAGGGGGTGGGAACATCTGGAGGGAGCAACTTAGGTAGTGTAGAGGCTGTTAGAAGAAATGATTATGGACCATTAGAGAGCCTAGTTAGTTCTTTTAATAGTTTTATGGTTTCCTTGAAAAACAAAGCTGCATAATGAGTTTCTTTGTGTGACCCTTATGAAAAAGAATTTGTGGTACAAATGAAAATACTAGATATTTTATAGTTTAAGACAACTTGTGTTTTGCTTAGTCAACCATCTCTAAAAGAAATACTTTGTAGGACCTGGCAACATCTATTTTGATAATGTCTAATGGCTTTGCAAACCATAGGTATAGATCGTGTTTTCTGAGAGTCCCTTGTTGAGTCAAGAAATTACAGATCAGACACATGGACATTCCAGATGCATGTGGGTTCTCCCTTTGTTCTCTTCACTTTATTCAGTGGAGGAAGCCAGAACATGGGTGCATGAAAAATGCAGAGTAAAACTTATAAATGGAAGGTTAGCTAATCAAACTTTGCTTCACTTATCTCTTAAAAACATGATGTACTGCGCCCTTGAAAAGATGTACTAACACAATGTGGTCACAGTTTATTTTAATTAGAAACTTTATTGATGGGTAGCAAATCTATTTAGACAATTGTGTGGTTTATTTTAGTTTTTTTAATCACTAAAGTAAGATGTTTAAAATTATTTAATTCAGGAAAAAGCAATTGGGCTAGGATTGCCCCAAGAATATGAAATAAATGATAAACCAAGCGAACAAACCGTTATTGGTAAGTAGCATTTTTTTTATAATTTCATTACAATATCTCTAAATGTCACTGTAAATTAAATATTCTCATGTGACAACATTTAAGTTCAGATGTATAATTCAGATGTCCTGTTGTGATGATTTCACAAAATTTCAGTATTTAACTCTCAAGTCGTTAGCTTATATATCAGAGTATGAAGATACTGCAGAAAATAACCAGCATCGATTTTCAGGGTGAGGATGTGTTGATCCTGAGACCTTTCAGCTGTCACACTGATGTGGGCTACAACATATTGATATTATTACAGAGTACGGCATTCGGATATAAAACAAAACTTATATTTAATGCCTAATTTGAAATTGGGCATCTCCACTGCAATCACTAGTAGATGCACTACCCACAGAGCTATCCTTAAATTGGTGAATTTGATCTTAGTATACAACAGTGGTTAATGAGTTAAAAGGTGTTTCTAACGTTAAAAAGGTGCTCAGTTGCGTATTTTAATTCCACTTAATGCACCACACTGTCTCCTTCTGCATCCTAATTACAGTGAGAGAATGAGGACATACAAGAATGGCAAAGCTAATGTATGTTGACATTAACTTTGATACATAAGTGTATGTAAAGCATATGATACGTGAAAATGCTTGGTGCAATGAACATCACTAATTTCAAGGCAAAGCAGTATTTTTATGTCAACTTTTTAAACCCATGAAATGCCATATCAATCTCCAGTATTCTGGTGTGCTAGGATCATCCTTGGTGAGGATGGTGGCAATGTATGGGTTCTAAATTCCTCAATATTTTTTGTATACACTGATCAGCCACAACATTAAAACCACTGGCAGGTGAAGTGAATGAGATTGATTATATTGTTACAATGGCACCTGTCCAGGGGTGGGATACATTAAGCAGCCAGTGGACAGTCAGTTCTTGAATATTATGTTCTGGAAGCAGGAAAAACGGGCAAACAAAAAGATCTGAGTGATTTTGACAATGGCCAAATAGTGATGGCTTGACGGCTGGGTCAGAGCATCTCCAAAACAGCAAGTCTTGTGGGTTGCTCCTGATGTGCAATGGTAAGTACCTACAAAAGTGGTGCAAGGAAGGACAACCAGTGAATCAGTGTCAGGGTCACTGATGCCCAAGGCTCATTGATGCACATGAGGAATGAAGGCTAGCCCATTTAATACTGTAGCTCAAATTGCTGAAAAAAGTAAATAAAAAAGTGATAGAAAGGTGTCAGAACACACAATGCATTGCAGTTTGCTGCGTATGGGGCTGCATAGATACCGAACGGTCAGAGTGCCCATGATGACTTATGTCCACCAACGAAAGTGCCTTCAGTGGGGACATGAGTGTAAGATCTAGACCATGGAGCAGTGGAAGAAGATTACCGTGGTCTGATGAATCTTGCTTTATTTTAGATCAGGTGGATGGCCAGTTGCATTTGCGTCATATATCTGTTGTAGAGATGGCACCAGGATGCACCATGGGAAGAACGCAGCTGGTGGTGTTGTTATGCTCTGGGCAATGTTCTGCTGGGAAACCTTGGGTCCTGGCATTCATGTGGATTCTTGCAGCGTGGCATCTTGCCACACTGCAAGAATTGTTCAGGAATGGTTTTAGGAACATGACAAAAAGTTAAAGTTGTTGCCTTTACCTCCAGGTTTTCAAGATCTTAATCCGATTTCTCAGACATATTAATATTTTGTCCCACAATTATCCCTATATATTGAGCATCTGTGGGATGTGCTGGAACAACAAATCGGATCCATGGAAGCCTCATCTAACAATTGCAGGACTTAAAGGATCTACTGCTAATGTCTTGGTGCCAAAGAATCTGCTGCTAATGTCTTGGTGCCAGATACCAAAGGCCACATTCAGAGGTCATGTGGAGTCCATGCCTGAATGCATCAGATCTGTTTTGGTAGCACTAGGGGGAAGTACACAATACAATATATAAAAGAATAGGCTTTTTGTTTTGTGGCTAATTATTATAAGTAAGCGGTATATTTTGCATGTTCTGTCATCCTCTGTCTCTTCATACAGATGGCAAGTCACTGCTAACTGAGCACACTGTTAACCTATGAATGATATATTTTCATTTTAACTTAAAGGGACACTCTGGGCACCAACATCATCAGAATTAAGTTTCTATGGTGCCTGGAGGTCCCCAGCAACGACTTACTTTTAAGGATTAAACCATTCATGAAAAAAAGAGAAGTGGATGGACAGGGGCAGAGCTAAATGGTGCTGGATTAAAGATGTTAGGGTTAAACCATTCGTAACAGGTCAACCCCTAAACGTAAGCTGGTACTAGGGACCTCATGACCCCGTAACAACTTAATTCCAATGAATGTTATGGTGCTCAGAATGTTCCTATAACTTTTTGTCAGAAGTGGTGATTTTCACTTGCAGCACTTATAGTGTTTATGTCTTAGTAATTAATTTATGTATTAATATATCAATGGGGGAATGTTTAGTAGGGAGTTTAGTTGTAGGCAAACAAGTTTGAACCATTATGCACAAGTTGGACGCAAAACATGATGTGGCTCAATCTATCCATTTTATTGACATTTTATTGTATACTTAGAAAATAGAACAGACAACGGGCAGAATGCTAGGTAAAATTTGATTTTTTTTTTTTTTACCTGTAGAACCAAGTTCTGTGGACCTTCTACCAAAACCTGATGTGGAAAATAGCAGTGTGCTGCCAATGGAAAATATCATCAGTGAACCCGTGGAAAGAATTAGCAGTCCATTTATAGAAAATATAAGCGATCAACCTGTGGAAAGGATTAGTAGTCAACCCATGGAAGATATAAGTGATAAACCAGTGGAAAGAATCAACAGTCCATTGGGGGAAAATATCAACAATCAAACTGTGGAACAAATCAGCAGTCCACCATTGGAAAACATCAGAGAATAACCTAATATATTTATTTCTAAGCTTCTGTTTTGTTTGTAAATATTGTAGAACAATTGATGTTATTTTTACTTTGAGATGTATGTAAGTTGTGCATTCTTCAAGCTTGATGCACCGCAGTTGTTACAAATTTTGTAAAACATTCCAAAAACAGGAAGATGTATGAATTGTGCCACTATTGCCTACCAACGATGAGTGTTTCAAGAAACGATACCACAAATCTATAAAAAAGGTGGAGTATCTTACATACACGATAAGAAGTGGATCTTTATATAGTTAGAATCCTACAATAAAGCATAGGAGAAAAAACAAATAATATTGCAATATCGTTTGTACTGCTTGTTTAATATCCAAAGAATGTTCTAATGAATTTAAACTCACAAGTGTGGAGCCACTATGTATTGGTCTCAAGTAATTCACTTTGTGAGATATAAGAGGTCCTACTCCCTCCTCTGTGTATCGGTATCCACTTAGAATGCAGCTACCGATATGTAGTTGGAGTTCAATAACGTGCTTTATTTTATAACGTGCACAATGAAAGATGAATAGAATTAAAAGTAAATAAAAAGACATTACAGTCTATGCTGGTTAGTCCTTAAAGTGTAGTTCTTGTAGCAAAACGCGTTTGGCCTCTCCAGGAGGCTTCCTCAGTTGCTGGTTTCTATTGTATACCTGGTGGTCCTTTTAAATGTGCTTAAAGGACCACTCTAGGCACCCAGACCACTTCAGCTTAATGAAGTGGTCTGGGTGCCAGGTCCAGCTAGGATTAACCCATTTTTTTTATAAACATAGCAGTTTCTCTGAAACTGCTATGTTTACAAATGGGTTAATCATTCCTCCAATTCCTCTAGCGGCTGTCTCTTTGACAGCCGCTAGAGGCGCTCGCGTGATTCTCACTGTGAAAATCACGAGTGTGTTTTCCTGGCACTATAGTGGTCATTTAATTGACGCTTTTTTCCCCGGGTTTTCTCCCTTGACGATGTACTTCCGGTTCTCGGTACTTCCGGTTTCCGGCTCTTGCGTTCCACCATTGGAACGCATGATGATATTACTCACTGATTTCGCTGAGGCTATACAATTTTATAGGTGGTAAGTTGGCAGTGGTCCCCAACCCAGTCCTCATGGACCACCAACAATCCAGGTTTTGTCAATATCTCCATTTGAATATAAAAGGGAAATACATAAATCCTGGATTGTTGGTAGTCCATAAGGACTGGGTTGGGGACCACTGAGAAAGTGAGTACACAAAGTTAATTAACCCTCAGCCAATGAATACAACATTAGAGGTAATACATACGACAAGGTCAAGCTGCAGAGTAATAAGTGAATACCCGCGGACAAGAAGTAATTGCTCATGTGCCTGGTCAGTGCCCACCTTGTGGGACAGTTATTAACGATCATCACTAGAGATACAGAAAACCTATATCACACGTAAATTCTGATACACCTCTCCAGCATATTTAACCCCTTAAGCTCACAGCTTCAGAAGCTTGTCTTGCGCTTAATGCAGGGCCGGACTGGGGATACAAAGCAGCCCTGGAAAAAAAATTT